GGTAAGAATAACAAATCTTTAACACTAGCAATGCACTAGCGAAACAACGGCGAGACGACGGCGAAGATGGAGATCTGAAACGATAACAATACACCAGCAAGCCAACGGCAAAATGACAACGACAATGGAGATCTTAAACGACGAGAATGCACTGGTCGAACGAAACCCTCTGTCGGCGATTGAGATCTTTAATGCCGACAATGGAGATCTATGGTGTTCTGAAGATAGAGGTCCCTAGTGTTCTGGAGATGAAGGTATTGTGGTGTGAGTTGTGATGTGTCTTCAAACAGACACGTGGTATGTTACCTTAGGACCAGTAATGGAAGTTAATGTGTGAATTACGATATTTTTAAATCTTAAAAATTATAATGTGTGTTTATTAAGTAATATTGTGTATTAAAAATTATAATTTGCTCCACATGATTCTGGAAATTATATCTCACCCCTTGAAATTTTTAATTTCATAACAAATGATCAATTTTATTAAGAAATCGTCAAGTTAATTAATAGTTTTTAATGATGTAATAAATTTATTTCAATTAATAATTTAGGTAATTTTATCATTGTATAAGAGAGTTGGAAAAAAAATATTTCCAGTTAATTTTGTTAAATAAAAAATCCTGACAATAAAGTATTTGTAATTTTTCAAACTATAGGAGACAATCTGTATTTTAAGCAAATCTTAAGTGATTAATTTGTAATTTATCCCAAGAAAATAGAAGGGAAAAAAATACTCTTTTGTTTGGTTGAGTTTTTAAAATTTATTTCTATTTAAAAAAAATAGTTTGATAAAAAAATTAAAAAAAAATCATTATTTTTATATATTTTTCTTTTTTTAGAGAAAAAATAATTCAATTTTAAAAAAAAAAAAAATTACTTTGTTAGTTCCTGCATTGTCTCATGTGTCATTTTTGGCTCATCATTTCAATTTACTCAATTTTAACATTTAATTTTAAATTTTATATCAATTTAGTCCAATTGATTGCATTGATTAAGGTTTTGAAAAAAAATAGTCACTGAGTTAGTTGAGGTTAATTCACTAAGCTGAAGAAGATTGTAATAAATTAAATTAAATTGAGACAAAAACATAAATTTAAAATTAAAATTGAGTCAATTGAAATTATTGAAACTAAAATAATACAAGAATCAAAATATAGAGATTACCGGTAAAATTTGCCTAATTTAAAAATATCTTCTGTAATGCTTATTTTTAAAATTTATTTTTAATTTGTCAAAAAAATTCAGATAATAAGGTGTGAATACTTAACTAAACAGGTGTGCAATTTCCTAACCCCACCTAACCCCTCATCGTCTCGATTTATCCCATTTGACATGTTTGGTAACAAGTTTTTGTTTAAAAATAATAAATATTACAAGTTATCATCATATCATTTTTAAATTTTTTTATTATATTTTTTTTAATAAAAAATAAATAATTAATTAAAAAACCAATTCCCAGGCCACTCCAAATGGCGTTCCATCCCATTTTTAAAATTTTTTATTATATATTGTCATTCTCATATAGGGCGGCAAACGAACTGAACGGAGCTGAGCCGAATTTTGCTGAGCTCGAGCTCGGCTCGATAAGGAACTGGGCTCGAGCTTGGCTCAGCTCGTTAATTTTAATGAAACTCGAGCTCGGTTCGGCTCGACTCGATAATTTTAAAAAATATTATTTATATTATTTAATATATAAAAATTTTATTTATATTATTATTTATATATATATATATTTATATATTTTTAATATATAAATAATGTATTTATATCTTATTTAATATATAAATAATATATTTATTATATAATTTAAATAAAAATAAATGAGCCGAGCTCATACGAACTTGAGCTCGGCTCGTTTACTAAACAAGTTGAGTCAAACCGAACCTTTAACGAACCGAACCGAATTTATTCATGAATGACTCAATTCGTTTGCAGCACTATTCCCATATCTGTTTCTTTGAGTGCCTTTTGAGCCAAGGAAATACCCATAGAATAGGAGCCAAGTAGTCCAACAATTTAGAGTAGACCCTTACACATCAGCCTATAACCACGTGTGGACACACTTATTCCTCATGCAAAACACAAGCCTACGCTCTACAAGCATCAAACTCAATGCATTAACCACACTTCCATTAACACACAGGCAAACAACATAGAAGACTCACATAATACTCTCCAATTTGGGTGTAAAGTTTTTTAACCCTATCTTAGATGATCCTGTGATGAATTGAGCACCGGTAATGTCATTATCATTGAAAATATTTTAGATTTGTTCCACTATTGTTTCAGTGGGGTGGCTATGAGTAGTGCGCATATATAATGTGTTTAAGTTTGGATCAGTAAAGACAGAATTTGTGTACAAACATATATCGAGAGATACATGTAACATTGCTCGAGTTTAGAAATCTGATAAGTAAATGCCACCTGTCCAAAAAAAAAAAAATGATAAGAAAGTTACTTAAAGTATCTTTAACGGTGTATTAAATTTTTCATTAAATTTGAGTGAAAGTTTCATTTGATGTCAAGTATTTCAACGGAGATTTTTGAAACTTCATTAGAACACCAGTTGACCTAGTGGATGACCCGGAGGATGTCGGGACGGTTGCCTGCCAGTGTAAATTTTTCACATTATTTTATCTTGAGGTGATCATCCGGGCGGTCGACTAAGCGAACGATCGGGGGGTCGACCGGTTAGTGTAATTTTTTTATAAATTTTTGCCTTGAAGTAGTCATCCAGAGGGATATCCGGTGATGAAAATCAAACGACTATAAACAGTAATTTGATAAAAGGTACATTGGTCCTCAGTTTGATGAAAGAAAAGTGAAATTCTAGATTTGATACCGATTTGATAAAACCGTTGGAACTGAAAAAGGAACCATTTTTCATCAAATTTAAATTTGATGATAAGTTTAATACACCGTTAGAGATGGTCTTACAAAATGAAAATTTATGATTGAGATTTAATTAGTGTATTATAAACTTCATGTATAGACTAAACCTAAACCACACATTAATATTGCTAGATAAAATTATGCTTAAAATTCTATGTAATATTGCTCTTTGTGATATATTTGTAGAGGAAAAAAAGTAGTAACAAAAATTTATTTATTTAATTTTCTTTCTCTCATTTTTTTCTTCTTCTTTAAATTTAAGATTTAAATACAATCGATCAAAATATAACATTGTTATAAGTAGATATTGTCGTGTTATTGACAAATGGAATGTTAAGAATAACATTGGTGAAAAACCATTCGGTTGATTAGGAGAGAGACAAAGTTGGTCTAGCCTGGTTTTCTGGCTAATTTTTTTGTTCTTAATAAACTTGAGAGAATGATGTCATATTCGAGTAATTATTCAGTAATCTTGAAGTATGAACATGTGATATTTTATAATAATATAATTGGTGAAAAAAGTTAAGTGAGATATTGTGTTGGGTGATTGAAAAACATGAGGGGAGATATTGAATAATGATTGATTAGAAAGCATAGACACGTGATACTCTGAAATTATTGAATAATTTCCCGTCATATTCAATATTTATTTAAGTTCCAAATGAGTCTAATTATGTTCATTTTTCTTCTTCTGATTATTTCTTCTATTAATGTTATTGTTGTATATGTAGATTTACTTTCCATTAGTTTCAAATTTCGATCAATATTAAGATTTTGATATACCAATTCATGCAATTTAATGTTAATATATATATATATATATATTTGATTTTATCATAAAAATTAATACATATCTGGATATTGTTACTTAAAATCACGTGTTTTATAAACAGTTACCCACACAATGAAAGTGCGCTTAAACCCTCCGCATGACGTGCAAATGTTGCATGGCCCATGCAATCATCGGAAGTTAACCCTGCCACGTGTCCAAAGTTGCCAACAACATATATATAGTTGACTCCTAAATATAGTATCAACTTGCAAATTCCCTACTCGAAATATTTACATTCTTTTTTTATTTTTTTTTATTTTTAGATAGTGAAATATTAGCATTCTAATCTGATTAAAAAACTATAATTATAGATCTATCAAATAAAATTTACAATCTAGGATTAAGATTTGTTCATGAAAGGCTCTATAACAATAAAATTAAGAGGGACTTACGTATAAATTTTAATAAGTGGATTTATTGTTTAATAGATCTTATGATAATTAATTGTACTTTTCATCAAATATTATTAAAAAACATTATTAATTATTAATTTTCAGCGTTAGTTTAAAAATTGTGTCACAAAAAATGTCACTAATTATAAGTTTTAGCAATAGTTCAAAAAAATTGTTACAAAAAAAGTCACTAATGTTCAACTTTCAGCGAAAGTTTAAAAAACTCGTCACAAAAAAGTCACTAATTGTAAGTTTTAGAGACAATTTATAAAACCGTGACAAAAAAATCATTAATTGTTAATTTTTAGCGACATATGCAAAAAATTGTCACAAAAATTATTTTTAGCGACGATTTTATTAGGACTTATTTTCAATAGAACTTGATGGAAATTAAATCTAACTTTTAGGACTTACTGATAGTTTACCTAAAATTAAATTTAAACCCTATATTTTAATTTCTGAATAAGTTTGTGATTTTCATTCATAGTTCTGATATAAGATTATTTGTACTAACACTGTATGGCTAGACGTGAATTATGCTTAAGTATATACAGCTCCATACATATAATTCTTGATATATAAATAAAAAAATATATACAAAATGATATGTTGAGCTATAAGCTTATTATTTTAAAAATAAAAAAAAAAATTATCAAGACTACTGCAAAAATATTTATTACAGAAAATTCATTTGACTTAAAAATTATGTGACTTGTATAGAGATTTTTTATTTAAAAACAAAGTACTCATTAAAATGACATTTAATTATGAAGTACCATTATCACATTATTCTAATAAAAAAGTTTGATATATAAATTGGGCATGAATAGTATCTTCCATATATATATATATATAGGATCATTGCACTCACATTCATCAAGTAAGCTCTTGGAGAAAAAGAGAGAGAGAGAGAGAGAGGGAGAGATGGATTCAGTGGTGGTGAAGAGATCATCATCAGCTCCTTCTAATGGAGGAATGAATGACATGAGAGGAGTGATGATGGTGGTAGTGATAGTAGTGTTTGTGGGTTATCTCTTCTTATGGGTCATGACTCCAACTAATCTCTATAGGCAGACATGGTTGCCTAAGATCCGAGCTGACACCAATTCAACCTTCTTTGGAACACAAGGTTTGATTTCATATATCCATCTATCTATATGTATATATTTATTAGAAATACTTAACATGATATTTGTTTCATGAAGTCCAGGATCCAAATCTCGTCTTTCCTGTTATTTTTGTCATTGTGTACTCATTTTGTTGTCTCTATTCTCTCCATATGCGAAATAAGATTGCACGTGCAAAGAAATTGTTAGGTTGATATACACTGTTGTGTCCACGTCTTAATAAATTCAGTTTTTGAACCAATTGACTTTCAAAAAAAAAAAAAAAAAATTTGTAACCCGAAAGTATATAATATGTATTTAAATATAAAGTGATGTAGACAGTCTGTAGTCAGTCTGTAGTCTTCTGGAGCAGTTTAGTTTCTGGATGAGTTGAAGTCAAGTCCAATCTCTTAGAATTCTGGGTCTGGGCTGCTAGCCTGCAGCTGCTAATCTGATTTGATCTGCTGGGTAGAACAGGGCTGCTGAGAAAGTTGATCTGAGCATCTTCTGGTATGCCCTCTGTTGTGTGTGAGTGGGTTGGTGCCTTGTCTTGGGACTGCTACTGGTGCAATCAGAGATTATGGAGGTTAATTAGTGGAGTGCTTTGTTGGTCTGCCAAGGTTCAAAAATGCATCATTATTGGGTATTGGTTTTGGTCTTAGATTTGGGCTGCTAGCATGCTAACTGTGGAAGGTTTCTGATATGACAGTGGCTGGGGATGGACTGCTAGTGTATGGATGTTGTCTTTTTGTTTTTGTCTTGTTTTGTTCTGCTCTGTTTGTTGGTTTCTCACCATCTTGGAGCCTCGAGTGTGTGCTAGCAGATGATTGGGTGTGCGTTTAGGTGTCAACCTAGTTGGGATCCAAATGTTTCACTGTGATGCTTTTTGCACCCTCTTCTTTATTGATGTATCTTATCATACTTGTTAAGTTTTTCATCAATAAAGCTTTTCTTTTGCCGTTCAAAAAAAAAAAAAATTAAAGTGATGTGAATTGAATGCTATTCAAAATTCTAGTGCCATTCATATGCCTTGCATAAGATGACTTTGTCCCCAAATCTTCTTATCTTCGTGACCGAAAACATCTATTTCCATTGAATTATGTCTTGAAATTATTGTATTTTGAGATTTCCAATAATCTAACTGTATGTCTTATAATAAGGTTTCGTTTGTTTTGACATAAAATATTTTCATTTTTCATTGTTTAGTTGAAAAAAAGCGAGTAAAATATTTTTGTATCATTTTCTTAAAAATGAGTTACCTTTAAAAGATTAGGTAAGTCAGTTTTTATAAGTTAATTTTTACTCACTATCTTTTCAATACATTTAGTCTTTCAAATAAATATTTTAACTCACTAAAAAGTCATAAATAACATTTTATTAAATCAAAGTTTATCTTTTAAATAATAAAATATTTTTATTCCAAGTGTCAACCAAACATCAAAAACAAAAATAAAAATAAAAATATTTATTCTATACAAAAATAATTTCCAAAAAATATATTTTTTATATAAAATATTTTACTTCAAAACAAACAGAACTTAAATATCTTTTACATCTTCCTTGTAAAATATTAACGTGCTAAAATCTCTATGTGACAGGTACAACAATTTTGCTATACACGTTCCCCATTCTCTTCATTGCTGTCTTGGGCTGTGTGTATCTCCACTCGGGCAAAAAATATGGTTCTAACAATATAGAAAGGTACATCTATAGAACTATTTTTAATGGCCTACTCTTTTTTTATTTTGGGTCATTTTTTTACTTCTCATCTTAAATTCTCCTTTGCAAATTTCAGAAATGGCGTGTACCCAATTTTATTATTTTTTTTTTAAAAATATATATATATATATATATATATATGTTTAAACTTGATATGACATATATAACACCTTTTAAATTCTAGAAACTTTTTAAAATATTTTTTGGGTACATAGCATTATTACTATATGAATTATGATAATATTGAAAACCTCCTCAAAATTTATTAATTTATTATTATTATTTTTGGGAAATCAACAGCAATGGAAAAAAACATAAACTATCCATATGGAAGAGGCCAGTGATCATCAAAGGGCTAGGGATTGTTTCAAGAATAGAGCTAGCTTTCTTTGTGATGTTCATAGCTCTCTTGGTTTGGTCTTTCTCAACTTACTTGCGGGTCAGGTTTGCCAAGATCACCCCACAAACAGCAGCGGACAACGGCGAGAAAGTGTACGAAATTCTTAATTTATTGCACTAATTATACATACAAATAGAGATGCAAACAAATCGTAATGACCGGGATTAAACCCAATCATCCATTATATTTTCAGATCATTCTGTGTTTCTAATATTGCTCTTACTTAAATTAGGCCTTACAAATTGAGGTGGTGGTAGTTGTTTTGGCTTGCAGGTGGGAATCGAAGTTGGAAACCACAGCTCTGACGCTAGGGGTCGTGGGAAACATATGTCTTGCATTTCTGTTTTTTCCGGTGAGCCGCTGCTCGGCAATGCTACCACTCTTCGGCCTCACCTCCGAGGCCAGTGTCAAGTATCATATATGGGTTGGTCACATTGCCATGACTCTCTTCACTGCTCATGGTGTTTGCTACTTCATCTATTGGTCTGTCACTCATCAATTATCTGAGGTAATTTAATTTTTAAAGTTTTTTTAATGCTTATTATTAAAATTTACTATTATTTATAAATGGGTTTATATCACTTTTATTTCTTAAATTATCACTATTTTCCCTATTTCATTTTTTTAGTTTTACTTCACGTGATCAAATTAAAGATGGTTGTACGAATCAGTAACAATTAAAACTTGATTTGAGACACAAAATTATTATTTGAATAGGTTAGTAACCGTTAAAGCTTGATTTGATCGGTAAAATAACTAGTTTAAAATGAAAACAACTTTACTCAAGCAACCAACACTAATATACCAACAAATATATTTATTAGATACAAGCAAATATATACTCATAAAAAAAGATATTGGGTTCTCAAAGGGGATGTGAGCCCAACAGTAAACCCTACAATTGTGGGGTCTATATAATCCCTCTCATATAAAACAGACTGAAACTTATAGAAAGTGATGTGTTTGTCAAATTCTTGTCATTCTTGTTGAGCCCTCACTTGTTTCCCATGCAAAAAATTGGCTTGGTTGGTTTGGTTTAGTTTGACAATAACAACAAAAATAACATGTGAGGTTAGCTTTTCAGCCTTGACCTCTCTCAGTGTTGTTAGTAGGACCCACGTGAAGTGTTAGTGACATTTTGTACGGCAAGGCACTCTCAGTTTAATTCCATCCATCCATCCATTTTGGAACTGAATTGGGCCTAACATTCCTTGAGGCCCACCAGGGTCCATATAGTCAACTGGTTGTGTCTATCTTTCTGCAACCCCAACTGCTTCCGTCATGTACGTTTGCCGGATCAGGTTAGACAAAACTATGGTAAGGTCTTATTTGACATGTGTTAAAATAATAGTTATAATTATTTTATTTAAATTATATATTTTTTCATTATATCATTTTAAAGTTAATTAATATTTTATATATATATATATATTTTTTTTTGTAAAAAATCAAAAGATATATTAATCTAATACTTTTCAAACAATCCTTAAGATAGAATTGAGTAATAAGATTATGATAGTATTAACTTATTGAGATTAAAGTCTCATTTGGCGACTTATTTTTGGCAAAATAGACAAAAAGTATATTTTAAAAAATCACTAAAAAAAGTTAAAAACTAAGGCTAAGTTTGCAAATCTCCTACATTAGTCAAAAAGTCAAAAAATTACTAAAAAACCAAAAACCAAAGAACTATACCCAAAATTAAATATTCATTTTCTTTTCTACTTGTTGCTTGTTTTTTCATAAAAAATCAAAAAATCATTCCAAACATATTAATTTTTTTCACCTCATATTTTAACTAAAAAATCTAAAAAATTACTAAAATAGCTTATTTTCAAAACAACACTAAAAAGCCATTAAAAGAAAAAGTTAAACATCTCAATAATTCACAATTTTTTATACAATTAAAAAAAAAAATCATTCCCAAAAATATTACTAGCTTTTTCTCTATCATAAAAAAGTCAAAAAGAAAAAAGGAAAAAAAGAAAAGAAAAGAAGAGAGACAGACGTATTAACATGTGCCCTAGGAATGTAATTAATAATTGTAACTATCTCCATTTGTATCGAAAATATAAAATATAAGTAGAAATACAGGAAATTCTATTTGCACACACTTTTTTTTATCTCTGTGTACATAATTTCTCAATGCACACCCTTATGAAATTGGTTTTATGTTTTTATTCTTAGTCCACACCTCACATGTTCCAATTATACCCTAAACTAACATCATTGTATAAGCACAACTCAAACCATTTGTTCCATAGAGAATGAATGGTGTAGACCCATTTTTTATTTTACCCACATTGAAAACACAACAATATCTTTCACAAGAAATCCCTCAGCAAATTGCTCATGAATCTTCAGATTATACAACAAACTACCTTCTTTGATTTCCAGTTACACCATCAAACTGATTCCTTCAATCAATAATCTAGTTAATATCGAAAAAGTCATTAATTGGCATTGAATTGTATTAGTATAGATCTTGAAACAATATCGTTTTTTTTTTATCAAACTCCATCTCTTATTTTTCATAAACTCTCGTTTTTTTTAAGCAATTCGATTTTGCTTATTTGGTACTGGTTATCTGAATAAAAAAGGTTTATTCGATTTTTACTGAAACATGTAAAAAAATTCGGAACTTGGTTTCCGAAATAAATTCTTAAATTCAAAAGCTGAGTTCTAAATCCAAATTCGAAGCTTGATTCTCGAATAGAATTAATAATTTCGGCAGTTAATATCCGAAAAAGGTAACATGTTTCGGCATTGATTTACTGAATTAAAATCATGAAAAATATTTTGCACAAAAAAATTTGCATTTTCATAACTACTTTTGTTTTAATTAGGCATATTGTTATTTGAATTTGAATTTCTGTTGATTTGCAACTCTTTCATCACAAAAATCAAGAATTATGGTGGATTCTAAAGACAAAACGATATAATAAATGGAGTATAAACTTAAAGAGTAAAACAAACAATGAAAAAACTAGGGTTTATTTATTTTTAACTCAAAAGGTGTATATTGAAATTTTTTTTTTTGTTCTTAAAAGATGTGTATAGAGAATATTTCTACATAATATTATGAGTGTTGCTGGATGTCTATTATGGTCATTTTTATTTAGGATATAATTTTTATTAATTTTTTTTATTTAAGTATGTGCCCTGAGTTAATTAGGTGTGTTGAAATAGAATTTCCCTAGAAATAGATATGGTAATTTTAAAAAACCAGACACTTTTCTACATGAACAAAACTACCCTCATTTTTGGAATAATGAAATTGACCTATTTATAATAGTCAATTATTTAATATATGTAGTGTCCGTTCAAATAAATAAAATCACTGTGTAATTAATCAAAATTTTAAAATAACATGTAAAATATAAAATAAAAATAAAACATGTAAAGTATCAAAATTAGAAGCTCCTACTGCATTATAAATTAAAAATAATAAAAATATAATAAAATAATAGTACCCTCTTAAATAAAAAACAAAAAAAATATTAACATTTTAGTATAAATGAAAAATAAATTTATAAATCACATACAATAATATTTTTTTTTTATTAGAAATCTTATTTAAGTCGAAACAATAATGTTATAATATCAATAACGATAACAATAACAACAATAACAAGAAGAAAAATCAATCCATTGATACTATAATATGCCTACAAAAAATAAAAATAAAAATACATATCAATTTATTTTAAAAAATAATATATGAAATAAATAAAAATAATTTATTTAGAATTATATAATCACCGTATATGTTGTAAATTGAAAAAAAATATATATAAATATAATAAAATAAAATAATAGAAGGGAACTTAAAGGATGAAATTGAAGGAAACACAAAAAGGGATATTTTAGTCTCTATGTAAAAAAAAATTCTTTGATTCCAATAACTTTAAAGGCTTTTACGATTTTCTATACAAAATAGAATAGAATTAATTATACTTCATTTAATGCTTTATTAATGTATGCCCATATTAACAAAAGTCAAAAAAAAAAAATTGATGGTACTACATGTACCAATTAGTGTACACATTAGTATACAAACTAGTATTATGATTTCATTAATTAGCCTATTTATTATACAAATTACAAATACCCACAACTTTTAAAATTATGCTACACCATCTGTTAGTACACTAGTGCATATACTAATTAGTACATATAGCATTATTCCAAAAAAATTACTTCCTAAACAATATGCCTAAATCCATGAAATTAGGTAAAAATGCTAATTAAATAAAAGGTCCCTCTATTATTTTTGTAAACTTGGGGCAAAACGGTCTTTTCACACTCAATCCATGGGATTGGGTTAGTAATCCTAGTCCTTCCATGGGTGGAAAATTTAGCCAAAACTCCTTCATTTGACTCTTATTTGATGAAAATGGCAGTCCGATTTATTTATTTATTTATTTTTAAGCATTTCATAATCAATATTGATCTTATTTGATAGATCTTAATGAAAGGATTCTAAAAATATTAATTTTTATTAAAAACTAATGTCTATATCAAAAGTTATATTATTTTAAAATTTAATATTTTGGTAATAGTAATACATATTGGACTTTTCAAAGAAAACTTTTTTGGGCTTGTCAACGTTAAAGTTTTATTATGAGGGAGTTTTCACCAAATCTCCCAATACTAATCCCACCATGTGGGGGGATTCATAAGATTGTTTGGCACAACTTAAATGAACTGCTTATAACTTGTTTTAATTTGGAAATCTACGTTAGATTATTTAGTGTAATTTTCACTTATAACTTATTGAACATAAATAACTTAAATAAGTTCAAAAAAAACTTGATTATCTAAAAACTATAGAGGAAGGAATGATACTTTTGACTTCTGTTTTTTGATTATCAATTTTTAACTTATAATAAATTTTACAAAACAAGCCCATAGTATTATGGGACTACTAGTCCCATTTTGCCAACTAAACATGATTTATGGGTGGCCCATAGAATTGCTAATTCAATCACATTATCAATGGAGCCAAACAAACATGGCATCTTACTTTAGAAATTGGGCCATAAAATCACTATACAAAGTTCACCAAAAATAAAATTAAAATTAAATATTTGAAAAAAAAAAAGAAAATCAAAAAAATTTCAAAAATTAAATCAAACTTTTAGAACTAATACAATTTGAATCAAAGAAGTCATCCACTTCACTTGTCTATTGTTTTTGTTTTTGTTTTTGTTTTTCAGATGCTGAAGTGGGACAAAACTGGTGTATCAAATGTAGCAGGGGAGATGGCTCTGTTATGTGGACTAGTCATGTGGGTGACAACCTTGCCAAAAATTAGGAAAAAGATGTTTGAGCTCTTCTTCTACACTCACCACCTCTACATCCTCTTCATCTTCTTCTTCATACTCCATGTTGGCATCTCTTACTCTTGCATGATGCTCCCTGGTCTTTACCTCTTCTTCATCGATCGCTTCTTGCGATTCTTGCAATCGCGAAGAGGGGTACGTTTAGTTTCTGCTCGAGTTTTGCCATGCGAAACTCTAGAGCTCAACTTCTCCAAGAGCCGAGGTAAAGACAGTAAGCTTTTCAAATAAAAAACACATATATAGTTTATAAATTTCTTTCTTTGAAATTTTGATTTGAATTAAATTGGTCTACTTTTAAATATAGTGTCTAAATCATTAATGAAATGATAATATGATACACTCAGATTAAAGTATGTGTTCTGTGTTTTTTTAGCCTCTAAATTTTATTTTTTTTCAATTTATCAATTTCAATAATGATGAAGAAGCATAATACTATGTGTTTAGGGATTAAATAGACAAAATTTAAAAAAATTGGGACCAAAGCATACTTAACGACCATATGTTTATTTTATTATTATTTCGCTAATAATTTAGGATGTTTGAAATTAGACCAATTTGACTCAAATTGAAAAAAGAGTAATACAAAATGCTACTTTAAAAAACAATACACACATATATTTTTTATTACTATTTCATTGATAATTTAGATTGTCATATAACATTGGATCAATTTGACTCAAATTAAATACTTTAAGATAAAACTTAGATGATTAAGGTGATAGTGTATTTTATCCATGCTTTGGGCTAATCAAAAACTGTATTTAAATGCATAAGTATATGACTTGATAAAATTAATTATCAACACCTTATAAAAAAGGGTCTCTACTCCCTGTCTCTCAACTCGCTTCTCTATCCCTCTAATTTAGTTTCTTATTTTTTCCAAAAAATCAGGCTTGAGTTATACTCCAACAAGCATTGTGTTCATAAATGTGCCTAGCATTTCCAAGTTGCAGTGGCATCCTTTTACAATTAGTTCAAGCAGTAATTTGGAGAGTGAGAAGCTTAGTGTAATAATCAGAGGTGAAGGAAGTTGGTCTAGGAAGCTTTACCAAATGGTTTCATCACCTTCTTCTTCTCTCGATCACCTTGATGTCTCCGTTGAAGGACCTTATGGACCTTTCTCAACTGATTTCCTAAGGTATGTCTATGCTATAGATACAAGTCATGTACATATACACATTTGATCTCAGTCCCATTAGGTGCAGGTTCTTGTTAACAGAAAGTTGATTATCAAAAAATAGAAATTAAAATCATTCTTCTACCTACTGCTCAATAATTAGTTTTTTTAGCTTATTTAAGTTATCGTTTTCTAATAAGCTTAAAACAAAAGGTTACATCGAATATTTTGATACAATTCTCAAAATAAAAAAGTCAGAAGGAACCCCGATAAGATGCATCAAATGAAACCTCTAGATTTATTTGATGTAGTTTATTCTAAACTAAAAATTGAAAATCAACAAGCACAATTCCCTCTGTTTCAAAATAATATGTTTTTTATTTTTTAGCTTATTAAATTACTTTTACCACATAAGCAATAAACAAAAATTACACCAAACGTCTAACACAAAAGCCTAATATATATATATATATATATAAGCAACTCATTAAAACTGTAGCAACACCACCTCTATATGTTTTGTATTGGCGTGTAGATAAATAATGTTATACATAGTTTTTTTACGAAAAAAACTTTATATAAAATGATGCATCCTTATGTAATCCTTGAATTTCAAGCCAAAATATTCATAATTATGACTCAAAATTATAACAATGTCAGCATCACCTCACTATGTATATATTTTTATAGATAAAATTTTTAATTGTAAATCATTTTTCTTGATGTATTGATAAAAATGCAGGCATGACACACTAGTGATGGTGAGTGGAGGCAGTGGCATCACCCCATTCATCTCAGTCATCAGAGAGCTCATCTTCACGTGCGAAACACTCAAACTCAAGACTCCAAAGCTTCTTCTCATCACTTCATTCAAAAACTCCTCAGACCTCACCATGCTAGACCTCCTCCTCCCCATCTCCGGCACGCCATCCAAATACTCCAACTTCAATCTCCAAATTGATGCCTACGTGACACGAGAGAAAGAAGCGACTAGGATGAACCAAAAGCTCGTCCGAACAGTATGGTTCAAGCCTAGAGCCTCAGATTCACCTATCTCTCCAATTCTTGGCCAAAACAGTTGGATTTGGCTCGGTGTTATTGTGTCCTCTTCATTCATCATGTTCCTCCTCTTGATGGGTGTTTTGACCCGGTATTACATATACCCGATTGATCATAACACCAATAAAGTGTATTCATACTCATCAAGAGCTCTTTTGAACATGTTGCTCATATGCATCTGCATAGCTATCACTGCTAGTGCAGCTTTTTACTGGAACAAGAAACAAGGTATTGGGGAGACAAACCAAGTTCAGAGCATGGAAGGGGCGACACCGGTGGCATCACCGAATTCGTGGTTCTATAATGCGGATAGAGAATTGGAAAGCCTGCCACAAGAGTCAGTTTTTCAATCTACGAAAGTGCATTATGGCGAAAGGCCTGACCTAAAGAGTAAGTCATTCTTTGTCACAACAATTTGGTTGCTATTTATGGTTTTAAATACCAGCCAAAATGTGCTATATTGGCTGGTGTGTATCCGGTTTTGGCATCTCAATATCGACATACAAGTGAGAATGAAAATTACATATATGAGCTGATTTGCGGTACGCATATCACTTATAGCCAATTCACCCCTAATCGGTGTTCATAGTCATGGTTTTAAATCACGGTATTGGAACATGTAACGGTATCAATGGTGACGTACCGATATCGGGATATCGGGTGATATGTATCGAAAATTGAGTGTCACAGTCATGAAATTTTAAAAATTATTAACAGAGTGTAACAAGGTGTATTGGCCTATAACGGGATATAGCCAATTTGGCAACTACAAAAAACTTTTTTGCCTATCATGATTTTTAAAAATTCATAGCCACATCATCCAATTCCCAATTTGTATCTTACTCCTAATACAATTATACTGTGACTGATACTAATTATTCTCCCGATATTGCTATCTAAAAGCTTACTCCTATTAGTTTTTTTATATGGGATTGGTCTTAACAACAATGTTGTTGCAGGAATATTGTTCGAGCGCAAAGAATCAAGCGTCGGAGTGCTTGTTTGCGGCCCCAAGAAGATGAGACATGAGGTTGCAAGCATATGTTCGTCAGGCTTGGCAGATAACCTGCATTTTGAGTCCATCAGCTTCAGTTGGTAAGTTTACTCATGTGCAAAGCAGGGTTGTAGTACTTGAGAGTGAAATTTAAGAGTTTGGACCCAAAAAAACTGTTTTGTTGCATTGTTGTTTGCCTTTTTTTTTTTTCTTCTTTTTCTTCAATTGTGAGTTTGAAATGTAAGTGTAAAGAGGAAGCCAACTCTTCCTTTCTTTGAATATGGAACATAAATAACAGGCTTCTGTAGAAAATTTCAAGGAAAAGCTTCATTTAAATTACAGCTAAACAAACCATGTTGTAGAGAAATAGCTCGAGCTTGACTCGTTCATAATTTGTTAGTACAACTATACTGGAATGCATCATGTACAACAATACATAAATTATTTCTGCTACATATATATACACATAAATATTTACAACAATTAGTATATATATACACACATATAAATACAAATTTGCAATTATTATGTATATATTTGTATGTTTTTCTTACAATGTCAGGACTACTCCATCACTAAGTTTGTTGAGTACCCAAAAAAAATGGAGTTACAAAACTTAAAGTTGTATTTGGATCATGAATTGAATTTGGGTAGAGAGGTAAAGGGAAAATGTGGGTGAAATATATTTATATTTCATTCATATTTCACGCACCTTTTCCCTTTTTTCTTTTCCTTTTCCTTTCTCTTTTCATATCTCTATCCAGATCCATAATCTAAATACAGCCGAGCTGATCATAATTCATAGTAGTGAAAAGAATTTACAGCTTCAAAACTACTAATACAAAAAGTGTAATCGAAATTAGATAAATAATCGCCTCAGGCACTTATGCTGTGTTTAGATCTTCAAATTTCATGAAAAAAAAAACTAACAGGAAAAAAGAGAATTTGTAAAATACACAACATAAACATTAAAAGAAGTGGCAAACTAAAGTGTGAAAACAAAATCAGTGACTAAGCTTAAAAATTCAGAAAATTTTGCAATCTATTTACTTTTTTTAAAAACAAAAAAAAATATACCACACAAGTTTTTGCTTCCAGTTTCCACAAAAAAATGAAAATAAAAATGAAAACAAAAATGAAAAACAAGAAACAGAAGCATTGTCAAACAGCACCTAGCTAAGCTCACACCCTCAAAAACTATTCAAGCTTCGTAGATCTAGTGTTTCACTTACTGATCATATCTTCCATGGTGCTACCCAGTGTACCACCATGTTGCTTGGTTATCTGGACTGCCTACAGGAGAATATCTTGCTCCGATGAGGAAAGCTACTCTTCTTTGCTCTGAAAAATATAAATGGTTGGTACATAAATATTTTAAGAACTTGTTTTAAAAGCAAGTAAAGAGGGTTGGCCAAGGTGATTGTTACAGGAGGAAGTGGCCGAAGATTGTTGGTGGTTATAAATCATAACTTTTGCAGTAAAGATGCATAAAGTCTCATCTATATCACAAAACTAGACTGCTATTTGAATCTTGATGCATAGAGTACTTTTTTTTATTGATAATAAAATTTCATTAAAGACAGCAGTAACGGAATACCATCCTATAGAAAAAAGAAGCAAAAAAACAACAAAATATCTACAGACCTTCATGTGTATAAAAGACTCGAAAAAATCTAAAAATTGGTCAGGATAATGGTTAAAAACTCCCAATTCTCAATTATATAAAAGTACTTACAAATGTATTTTGGAAGGCTATATAAACTCACAAAGGAACCTCTATAGCGTCCGTTCATTCCACACTTTACCAAGCCATATTGCCAAGGTTCTAAATCGCGATATCGAGTAATATAACGGTATCGATCGCGAAGTATTGATATCGGTAGTATCGATCGGTATATATCGGGAATCAGGTGTCGCGGCGGTGAAATTTTAGAAATCATTTCACAAGTTTTTCAGCTTTTTCTTTCCCGTACCGATCCGAACCGGTGAGTATCAGCCCGTCGCGGCTTGTGTAACGGTTACAGACCGATACGTACTGGGACTCGGCCGATACTCCTGCGATTTTCAATCTCAGTGGTATACCGGCCTATATCCGTCGCGGTATTTAGAACTATACATATTGCTAAAAAATCATATGGCTCCAACCTTTCACATTGCTTGCTTTCTATTTAATTCAAAGAACTTTTTGTTATATGAACAAGTGCGTTGTGCATGCACTACAAAAAAATACTTTTGACGACTAATTTTTTAGTCGCCAAAAGTATTGATTTTAGTCACCAAAAAACTTTGCCAACCAAAAATTTTGGTCGCTGGCTTTGTCGCGGATACATCATTGCCGAAGGTATTGGTGACTAAAAAAATTTAGTCGCCAAAAGTCCTGCAAAATGCCAACTAATATTTTAGTAGGCAAAAGTAACAGGTATTAGCGACTAAAAGTGGCTTCGCTAATGACTGACATTGGCGACTAACATATTAGTCGCCCAAAGGGTACATCAATTTGTTTAACTCACATCTTCAGCTACTAAATGTTTAGTCGCAGAAAGGTTGATTGTTGTTTAGCTACTACACAGGTTAGTTGCCTATGATTTTTAATTATGTTTTGGCGACTAAATATTTAGTCGCCAAAAGTGTTTTGAGTTTTAGCTACTAAACAATTAGTTGCCAAAACTATTTTTGATTCGTTTTGGCTACTAAATATTTAGTCGCCAAAAGTGTTTTTCGTTTTAGGTACTAAACAATTAGGCGCCAAAACTGCTTTCGATTCATTTTGGCTACTAAATATTTAGTCGCCAAAAGATTTATTTCTTTTTGGCTGCCAATTGTTTTGCCACCAAAAACATCATTTTATATATATATATATATATATTTTTTCATTTTAATAAATTTTTTCACAGCCTGTATGTATCCACCGCAACTTGTAATAGGTATACAACCTATATATATTATCACCTATTCCGTAATGCATGTTTCACTTACAACCATTAAACAAAAAAGAACACCTTCTAATGCAAACTTATATACAAACCAACTATATATATTCCAATTACCAATAATAACATCATGCATTCCAAATACGTTACCAAAACATTGTCCTTTATACACAAAACATTTTTACTATACTATGCATTGTAATGACCATTTGGCATGGTACAAATTACCATGGTAATATGTACCACGACAAAAGGTAATCTATATATACCACTAGAGCAATTAATACAGGTTCCAAAAATACTATGTACCCCGCCAAAAATTATATGTACGATGCATCCAAATTCCACACAAAAAGTAGAGGACGACAAAAAACTTCCTAAATTTGCAAAACTGTGAATTATCTTTCGGGCAAAAAAATAGAAGATCCACATGTCAATGCAAAAAGCCATCTACATAACAAAAATTACACCCATTAGTTCCATTGTAAACAAAATGTTACAGCTATCTACAAAACACAAATTGCAAGGATGTCAATTGTAATTGAAATTGTATTTAAATATAGTTTGAATTTAGGAAGTGATGGTTAAAATTTTTTAACTGTTCAAACTAGGACACATAAAATGAGATGGAGACAGGATTATAAAATTTTAATTATCAGTTTACAGCATTTCTCATTTCAGCTTTCGCCATCATATGTGCACACTCCTTTCACACTCCAGCCCTAACATGGTGCTCACTTGGTCTTATAGAAAATTTAGGATCTAAATCTTCACAATGACAATATGTGAAATTGTGGAAAGGTATGTACTGTGTACAATATTGTACTAGAATAAATCTCAATGCACTTGGAAACTCAATGCAAAGGTATGTACTGTGTAATATTTACGTTGGCTTATAGAACAAAGTCTACTTAAATGTGTTGGTATTGTCAAAATCTTGGCAATCATGATCGAAAGTCACACATAGGTTACAATTCAGATGGTTTCGGTTGAGTTAAGAGTTTATTCAAGTTCAGTCTAAAGTGTAAAGAAATTTCCCAAGTCAGGCATGAGCCCCAAGTCAAGTTTAGTCTAAAGTGTAAACATATATATATTTTATTTATAAATGTACATATATAGAGATGCTTATAGAACATATATATATATATATATATATATATATTTATAAGCTTTCTGGCTTTTGTCACGCCAACTCCCAACATACGCGTGCTAATTACGTCTCATCTGACCCCACAAATCCTATTTGACATGAAGAAGCTACCCGTGCCATCCCTACAATGGTTCGGGGGCTACTTTCAATTTTCGGCCCTCGAAGGCCATTTTCGGCTAAGTTTATGGCGTTTTTCACGCCAACTCCCAACGTACACATGCTAATTACGTCCCATCTGTCCCCATAGGTCCTATTTTACACTAGGAAGCTACCCGTGCCATCCCTATAGTGGTTCAGGGGCTGCTTTCAATTTTTGGCCCTCGAAGGCCTTTTTCGGCTAAGTTTATGGC